TAAATTCAGAATCAACAATGAAATTAAAAAAAAAAAACTAGCAATATTCAAATCCATCATTTCCTTACATGGCTCATGTATTTCCCCACCTTTTTTTTGGTTAATAATAAATAGAATATATAATAAATAAGATAGAATATATGACAAACTAGAATTAAAAGTTACAAGAACATATATAAGAACATATATATGTACAAAGAGAAAATAAAAACAACGGGAGAAGGAAGAGACAACAACAAAACGTAAAAGATATACAATCAAAAAGAAAAATCCAGGACTCCTTAGACTAACTTAGCAAACTTTCTGATACTCTTAACAAGACTAATCTACCAAGTACCATGCTGTAAGTGAAGTTTTTTTCAATTGTTTATAATGAATTAACTCAAACACAGAAAAAATGGACCGGTTCCTCGTATGAACATGAGCTATCCCAACAACAATTATAAAAACAAGAGCCACAGTATATAAACTCTAAAAGATATAACTTAATTAGTTAGATTATGATTTTATTTTTAAAATATTATTAATTTAAATTCTATAAATATTAGGATTATTAAAAATTTATATATTTATTAATTTTAAAATTTATGAAATTAATTAAAATATATATAAGCTGGATCAAATATTTATATTAATAATAATAAAAAAATAGAGTCACACTATATAGTAGACATTTCTTGCTTACTCAGTCGTCTTCTTCTCTATGCTTGTCCTGGTCTTCTCATATGGCAATACCCCCCTAAAATACAGAGTTAGGAGAACGAATTTTTGTTCTCCTAACTCTGTATTTTATTTTGATGGATGATTATTATCAGGAGCAGTTGAAGGATTAGATCAGTGGGCGACCTAGGGTGGTCGCTCGTATTAAAATTTTGAAGTGTGCTCAAGCTTGCGTTGACACCTATGGTGTTTATACCATTGGTGTATGCACCCGCACGTGTTGACAGTTCCTGTTGCTCTATAAATTCAACATGAGAGGCTCCTGTTGTTTGATTTTAATTTGAGCTTAAATTCTATTGAATTTGGAATAAAAGTTTTCTTTACATTATCACAAAATAAAAATAGCTTTTTTTTTTCAGGTTTAATGGATTGTCCAATTGATTTTTTTATCTATATACTTTGGATATTCCACTAGCTCCTAGTCTCTCTTACGACTATTGATTGATGATTTGTAATAATTTATTTGATAGATTGAGATGTCTCTAAATTCAAGTTTCTTGTGCTGATGACAAAGTTTCTTGTGTCGGTGATATAGTTATTAAACCAGATTTTGATTCAAAACTAGAGCTATAGTTTAAATGAGTTAATTTGAATCAATTTAAAATGGTCTTGTTGCAAGATTTGTTTTAAAATTAAATTTACATCGTTTTTTTAATAAAAAAATTATATTAAAATTTGATCAAATTAACTAAATTTGATTAGATGAATTCATATTTAATTTAATTTTAAATTTATTCTAGACTAGATTTCAAGTTTGCAAGTAATTAAATTTACTAACATAATCAAGTCAAGTTTAATAATATTATTGGATATCATTCCAAAAGATTTTTCACTAAACTAATCTAACAAGAGCCAATTTCTATAAAAAAAAAAAGTATATAAAAGAAGAATCATTAACAGAATTTTGTAATTTATCAGTAGAATATTTTGTTGGTTGTTAGAAATTAATTTTGTCAGCAAAATTCATTGTAATTTATTAATAAAAAAATTATATTAATATTTTTATTTATATTTACTAATTTTTGATATTGAATTTGTTTAAAATATAAGTGAAATTGAAGCAAGAAACAATAATTTTTCATCCCTTTAAGCAATTCAATCTTCTTGATTGATGTAGTTTTCAAGAATGAGAAAAAAACTAAAAAACTAAATAAAAAATAAAAATTAGCTAAAGAACCAACAAAGAGAGAAAACTTAATAAATAAATTTAAAAATTTAAAAATAAAAATAAACATAAAATTAGCTAAGTTTAGTTTTGGTTTTAAAAATTTTTTTTTTGTCATGAATAATAAGATAAAATAACATTCCTAAAAAATTTTAGTTAATCCAAAATTGGGTTACAACAAACATAAAATTAGCTAAGTTTAGTTTTGGTTTTAAAAACTTAAAATCAATAAAACTAAACTTATTCATACTGGTTTAACCCTAAAATAAACATGGTATAAAATAAAAATAGATATATATATATCTCAAATCTAGATGAATATCCGTTCACAATCACTCTATTTTTTTTTTTGTGGTACTTGTAAATATCATGGTGATCGTGATTTAAATTATTTTTCATTTAAAAATATATTAAAATAATATTATTTTTAATAAATACACATCAAAACAATTTTAAAAAAATTAAACAAAAAAATATTCAAATTTTTACATGGTGCCCGAACACTTCCTCTGCTCTCTCGATCTCCTCCACCAGCATCTCTGTCTCTCTGGTCCAAGTTCTCTGCTTTCTCGTGCCTATCTCTAGTTTGAGCTCTTACAGCTAACACAATAAACCTAAAACCCTAAAATAGTGACCTCTCCTCTCTCCGCCCCTCTCCAACTCCAATCCTTCTCTCCAGTCTTCTTTGTTGTATTTCATTGGAAGTTCTTGTTATGACTTCATGGCTCTTCTGCACTTTATGATTTTTTTTTTTTGCCTCCCTTAATAATATTTATAGTCTTAGCCCAATAAGTAGAAAAAAAATGAAATCTTGGCTCCTTCTAGAATAATATTCCTAATTTAGCCATCCTTAATTTCATTTTCTAGCTCCACCCTGGACATAGAAACAAGAAGATAAAAGGAGAGAGTAATTTTCTTTCCTAGCGTCTGTGTATTTATTTTCCTTTCTTGACCAAATTCCAAGGGGGCCAAAGCGTGTGTGGAGCAAAACAATCCCAGATGCAATCTCTAGACATGGATCTTGTTCTTAAACATCATGCCTTTTTTTGTCACCAAATTAATGGGATGAAATATTCTATAAATCCACTCTACATCAATTAAGTTGCTGGATGTTTGTCGCCAGATGGGATGAGATATCATTTTCTGAAAATTGACTCACCGCTAAACTTGTTTTCTGACGTCGGAATGAACTTCTGCAATTGCTCTTTCTGTCAACTTTTTTATCAGCAGCTTTGACTATTAACCTCCACACCCTCCTCTCTCTACAACCATTTGCTTGCTGTTGTGAAGGAATGGCTCCTAGGAATATCCACCCGTCAAGATGTTGAAAAGAAAAAAAATGTGCTTGCTATAATAAAACTTGGCTTTCAGTGTTAATCTCATTGCTAATTTTCATAGGCAAGGGAGCAGCTGCCGGCAGGAGAAGTCGACCAGAAGAATCTCTTGCACTTATTGGCCATCCTACTTTGCATGTGATCCTAACATGGATTCCTGTCTTGGTTCAACTGAAAGTGAAATCAACGTATAAACATTTCTTTTATTCTCCGACTGTCAAACACTTGTAGGTTTTATTGATTTTGATTCGCAGTGTTATACAGCATTAATTATACTGCAAGACCTTCCCTTGAGTAATTAATTGTATCAAACCTCGATGAGATTAAAAGAAAATGCACGAAAAAAGAGCACAATCTCAAGTTTCTTGTATTTGCAAGACTCAAGAAATCATATCATTTTGATTGTAATTATATGTGTGCAATTTCCATTAATCCCCAAAAGAAAATATAACATAATTCCTTCCCCAAAAAGAAACAAAATTGTAAATCAAGTCTAATACAATAACATAATTTTTCATTATAATTATAATTATAATTATATTTATAATGCAATTCCTACTATTATATTATATTATTATACATGTACTAAAAGGAAATGATGTGTCCCATATAAATGATATAATTGTAATATTTGGTTTTTTAATACAAAACAAGTTTTTCTTATACTTTTTTTATACTTGGTATTTTTATTATTTTACTCTTGCCCTATTCATCACCATTTTTTTCATTATTTTTTTTAGTAATATTTTTTTAGTTTTTTATTTTTTTCTTTACACTTTTTTTTAAATAATATTATTTTTTACACTTTAAATATTTATCACTCTACAATAATTTACCTATTTTTTTTTTTTTTGGAATTCATCTTCATACTTCTTCTTTATACTGTTGTTTATGTAGGTCTATCTTAATCTAATATTTGTGGGGTTATTAATTTAACTTGAGTTGATTTATATTTTTTTAAATGAATTTTTTTAAATTTTATTATTTAATATTGATTTATTTAATAGCTGGACTTCATAATTTTATTTAATTTATTTTCATTTACAATTTTGTTTTTATCTTATATTGGTATAAATAATTGTTTAATTATATAAAAAATTATTCCAAAAAATAAAGTTACTAAAAATAATTTAATACATCATTTATATTGCGAGATTAAATATTTTAATTTTTAATTATTTTTATTAAATATCAATTTATTTAATTAAATGCTAGAATTTTGATTTATGATTGATATTTTATTTTACATTCAAAAACATGTCAAAAAAATCTATATATTAATTTTTTATTAAAAAAATTATTTAACTCCATAAATCTAATTCTTATATATGCTTGTTTGTAAGTGTGCTCTCTATATATATTAGTCTATAGTTTTTGAAAACCTGTAACTTAGACACTTGATTTTTTTATTTTTTTCTTCTTAAGTCTTATTTTTTAATTTTTTTAACCCAAAATATACCGATTAGTAATTGATTAAAGAGACTGAGGCAATGGGGATAAATAAAATATATTTTTGATTTTTTTATTTTAAAAATATAAAAATTTATTTTAAAATTATCTTAAAAAGAGACTCATCAAATTTATTTTATACTTTGTTTTTATATTTTTAACCACATGTTTATCTTTATGTTCTTAGACAGTTACCAATCAATTTTTTTCAAAGACAAATTGCTACAAAAGTCAAGGAAATCTTTATTTATTCTTAAATATAAAGTACTAAATTATAATTTAATTAAAAAAAGGGACTAAAATATAACTTTCTTTAAAAATAAGGCAAAGATGACAAGAAAATTTGCAGAAAACAGGACCAAAAGTTGTCTATCCGAAACCAGCAGTTGTCTGTGTCTTTGTGTTTCGAGGATTATTCAAAGAAGTGTAAGAAATGGAAACAAAATCAGTAATAGCAGCAACTACATGTTATGCTAACGTTATTGGGTCATATAAACCCAAGCGTTTTGCTGCTTTTTCCATCAAAAGAGACCCAAAAAAGAGAGCTTTGGCTCAAAAGGTACGATTATTCCCACAAATCCTTTTGTGTTCATGGTTGTGTATGGATTAATCGATGCAAAATTCAGTATTTTGATTGGAATTTCATATGGGTCTGGTCCTTCTTTGATCACATTGTAGTTTACTTTTTAGCTTTTCTTTTTGTGCTTTCTATCTTTCCCTTTTGAAGGCATGAACTTTATTTGCATGAGAACATAAAACAAGGAAACAAAAACGGAATCAAATTTTTGGTTTTGAATTAATATTAGTGGGACTTGATTAGTTTGTTTGAGTTAGAGTTATGGTGTTAGTTCATGGTACTTCGTGCTAGAATTTAATTCTTTGAGTTTCTTGAAAATATCTTAACTTTTTGTTAAATGGTTTTAGTTTGAAGGTTTGTGTCGAGGAAATCTGAATTTTTTTGAGCGTGTATATACATATATATTTGGTTTTATTTTTGCTTAGTGCAGATGATACGGCAGTGGAAGAGGGATCAGGGTGTTTTTGGAAAGGAAACTTGTGCCGATTGTGCATCATTAATACAGACATTGTGTATGCATAGAAGGCCTCATCTAGCTGAGGAGCTTTTACTAGAGTTGAAATGTGAAGGGTTTTTACCAGACAACTGTACCCTTTCAGCTATGATGCTTTGTTATGCTGATTGTGGGCTTTTACCTCAAGCTCAGGCGATATGGGAGGAAATGTTGTATAGTACTTTTGTGCCTAGTGTTCAATTAATTTCGGATTTAATTGACATTTATACAAAGAGGGGACTTTTTGATGAAGTAATCAAAATTCTTGATCAGTTGAGTTCCTTGAGAACTTTTGACTTTTTACCTCAGGTTTACTCCCTGGCTATCTCTTGCTTTGGAAAGGGTGGTCAACTTGAGTTGATGGAGGATACGTTGAAGAAGATGGTCTCGAAAGGTTTCTGGGTAGACTCTGCCACTGGCAATGCTTTTGTTGTTTATTATAGTATTCACGGTTCTTTGGTAGAGATGGAAGCTGCTTATGATCGCCTTAAAAGGTCTAGACTCCTCATAGAGAGAGAAGGAATCAGAGCAATGTCATTTGCGTATATAAAGGAAAGAAAATTTTACAGGCTAAGTGAGTTCTTAAGGGGTGTAGGTCTTGGTAGGAAAAATCTGGGAAACCTCATTTGGAACCTTCTTCTTCTATCTTATTCTGCTAATTTTAAGATGAAAACTTTGCAGAGGGAATTTCTGAAGATGTTGGAAGCAGGATTTCATCCTGATCTTACTACATTTAATATACGAGCTTTGGCTTTTTCAAGAATGTCTTTGTTGTGGGATCTCCATCTTGGCCTTGAACATATGAAACATGATAAGATTGCTCCTGATCTTGTGACTTATGGTTGTATTGTTGATGCATACGTGGATAGAAGATTGGTTAGAAACTTGGAATTTGCTCTCAGCAAGATGCATGTGGATAATTCTCCAGTGTTATCAACAGATCCTTTTGTGTTTGAAGTTTTTGGGAAAGGGGATTTCCATTCAAGCTCAGAGGCATTTATGGAATTTAAGAGGCAGAGGAAGTGGACTTACAGAGAGCTCATTAAAATATATCTCAGGAAACAACACAGAAGTAAACATCTCTTTTGGAACTACTGACAATTGGCCATATGTTACTGTGTAGAATCTCGGTTGGTTTGACTGAAAATTGAAGTATGCTCATGTAGGATTCTTTTAGGTTCCTAGAGTTTGTGGTCATTATGCAACCTGGAGCTATTATTTTGTATTTGTTGGAAAAGATGATGATTTTTGCTTCACATGTCTATTCTGCTTAATAGCAATTCCATGTCTGATGATTAGACTAATTGTCCAAAAGATGTCCCCTGTCATCTTAAATCCACGAATATTTATCAAATCTTGCTGATCTAAGCATGGTTACCCTGCAGAGGCTGAAGATGATAGTGGACATGGTTGAGATATATGTTGTCAGTTTCAATTGTAAATACTGGAGAAATCTGAATGAGTGCTGTTGGATTCATTGTACCCGGTCGAACACTCAACTACATACCAATATCAGCTTTAAAACAATTTTAATGTTCCAATAGCTACGAAAGAATGTAAATCAAGCTTCAGGTAACATCAAATGCCAAATTTATCTATCTTTGCTACCGTTAAGTGTTTTTCATTTTGCACTCTATCTTCTCCCTTTATAAGAAGGCATGCTTGTGTGGTTTCCTGGGCTATCACATCCAGATTGTAGGTTGCTTTGAATCATGACATCCTGACAACAGATCAGAAATAAATGAACAGCAAAGCTTGCAGTGGTTGTACTTATGGGATCTATGATATTGCTATGGAATTAGTAAACATTGTATCTTCAGAAAAATTGAAGTTTGCACAAGCAGATTTTTTTCCTTTTCAGTTAAAAAAGAAGTTTTGGAAGCATGTAAAACTCACTCGAACTGTGGAAAATTGGCTGTGATTAGGCAAACTTCCTGTGCTTTCCCCAAGCATGATTTTAGGCATGTTTTCTTCAGCAAGTTCTCTCAATCTGTTAAGCTCAGGTAGCATGACTGATCCAAGATCTGGCCTGTCTTTTTGCCTCCGTTCTGCACATCAAAGAGCTAACTTGGTGAATTTCATGGCTTCCTTGATGGGCCGGTCTGGAGCGTCTAGGTCAAGCATCTCTGCAAAATTTCCTGTCTCAATGGCCCTCTCAACATGATGAGTTAAACCCGTAGGTGGCTTGGCTGTTATTATTTGTAGAAGCAGGATGCCAAGTGAGTAAATATTGGATCTTTTCCCTAGCATCCAGCCTGCTGATATTCTGGGTCAAGTTAACAGACTGTTCTAGCTGTTGATGTCATGCAATATTGAGTAACTGTGTTGGCTACTGATGGAGGGACAAGCCTGGCCAAGCCAACATCACCAATCTTACTGACATAGTTGCATTCAAGCAAAATGTTGCCTGGTTTTAGATCACAGTGCACAAGTGGTTCTGGTTTGGTTTGATGGAGGAAAAGAAGGCCAGTGCCAATTTCTGCAGCAATCCAGGATCTTAGTTGCCAAGAAAGAGGTGGACTATTTCCTTGTAGAACAGGCTGTCTTCCTAAACTGTCATGGAAAGTAAGAAACAGGTGATCAGTGCTTGGCCTTCCGCTGCTTACAAATGATATGTCAGAACCTGGAACGGGTTCATATCTGGCGAGTCCACCTCTTCTAGTGAATGGTGACCTGTTTCAGTGATTATCAGGTTTGTCCTCTCATTGATACAAGAATAGTCTCTAATCAGAAATTTCCATCATCTTTAAATAGTCTCTGCTAAAAGATCTACTGGTGCTTTTAACCAGTCTTGTTATCAGTGCTTGTGTCAAGATGTCAGCCACGTGAGCATGGACGGCATAGCTTTTGTTGTGAGAAATATTATGGCTTTGCTTTGACTTGTCTTTAAAGTTGGTGAAGGAAAGCAGTGGTGCTGGGACTAGTGGTACGAGCAAAGCAACAACAACAACGAAAAAAAGGTTTATAGAATGGCCAAAAGATGCTAATAGATTTAATACTATTTAGATTTCTTATCAAGCTTTGAAAAGAGAAGTATCAAACTTTGTTAAGTTCAAAGAGTATAATTCAATAAGAACATAGCACTGCCTGCCATTGTTACTGGAAGAGAATGAGAAGAAACTTCCATTCATTTAGACTTTAAATCATGTGATTAACCTGTATCCATTATGAATTATTGATGGTCATCATTTGTACCTATTAACCCCAGAGAAACTAATCTGTCGAGCTTACTTGATTTCCATTTCTTCTTGGATGCCTTGCAGCGTGCATGTTAGCCTCTCTGGTACTGCAAAAGATCAATACGCCTCTATTGAGCAATGACAAAGCCAGATACAAGTAGTTTAAAGAACAGAATGCTTATTAGAGAAGCAGACCTTTGGGAGATTGGCTAGGCTTGATAGTGGGTCTGACTGTATCAGACATGTTTCTGACCCTGCTTGGCATTTGAGTTTGAATGGAAGTTTTCGAAGGCGGTGGACCACTAGCAGATTTCACTGATGATATCTTTCCTTTGTTGATAACATATACAGTGCAGAAGTCTGGTGCTTCTTTGGACACATTACCTGGAACATCTCCAGTCCTGAATTTTCTGTTGGGGAAGAAAAACATAATTGGTATGATCAACATTCATATTCCAAGCCTTAAATTATAGAATTTGAGATATGGCATTGTATGACATCATATGGAAACCTGAAAACCTTATTTAGAGAATCAGGTGGAATATTGTTCTGGCCGTGACCCATCTATTTCATGGTTTGTTTCAGATCTGAATCTGAGAACCAAACCATGAATTGCAAGCTCAACGTGTCAACTTAGCCCAGGGAATGAAACTTGTTATCTTAATCTAATTTCTATTTGTCTTATATATAAAGATGTCTTTAGGATATCAAAGAGAATCTGAGTTATGGGTAAGCCCTCATTAAATGTTTTAACTGACAAGGCCTCCATTTGATGATGAACCAAGTATCAAAACTAAACTGCATTTGTGGTAACATTTTCTATCACTCCTTTGGCTATATCCATTTCCTCCACTACGACCACGTTGCATTTTATCTGCATCAAACGTGAACAGTGAGATCAATGAAGTAAAAGAAACCCCAGTAATCTCTATTGCTAAATTACCTGCAGCACTTGAAAATTCAATTGCATTACCAAATGTTAACCAAATGAAATGGGGATCTGAAAAGAAAACAGGCAGCTGAAATCACCTTCTTTCTTGTGCAGAAGCAACGGAATGGAAGGAACAACTCTTTGGCTTGGCTGTCAATTTGTTTGCTATATGTTCTTGCAACCTCATCATTGACTTTGTTGATGGAGACTTAGTTTCCACCTGCAACCGAAGGGACAATTGTTATGGTGATCAGTACGATGCTTATAAGTCACATGTCAAATATTTACAACCAAATCAATATCAAATAAGAATTGAAAAGATTTTTGATACCAGAACTGCTAGCTTAAACTGTAATTTGAATTGTGTTGATTCCTATATACATGCATTGCATGCAAGGTCTAGATGATCGATGAATGGTAATGATCATTATCATTCAAGACAGAACTGATTATCAGATTATTATTATCATGTTGACATGAATAAGTGGAGGCATACATGGGGTGGGGATGGATGATGGTTTTTGTTTAATATGCAGAAGTGTAAGAGCTTGTCCACCTAAGAGCATATTGGCCATTTTTATCCTTGTCTATGGCAACTGCTTTATTGTCTTCTTTCTTTTCTCCATTCCTTCTGGCCATCTTTGTCTCTCTTTCTCTGGTAAAATCAAGTTAGGTGCAATATTAAACTATATGAGAACAAACAAGCAAACAAAGCTTCAATGGTAGCCCCTTGTCTCGTAATATGTGATCGCCATCACGATAAACATGAAGAACAAAGAAATTTCTTCAGAAACTAACCTTCAAACCCTTTCCTTTCTTTCCTGATGGGAAGGTCAAGGAGATTTTTCTGCTGTTTCTACCTCATGTAAATCCCATGCAAGGAGGGGGTGAAATAAAAATGAGCTGGTAAACTCCCAAAATTAGCCGGGTAATGCCACACTGTGCAGACTAGCCTTGTGTTAGTGGCAGAAACTAGATCGAGCAACTTTACCTAGGGTTTCATGTATTGTCTCTTCTTATGAATCTGTATCCACCTCAGTCCTGTAGAATTTCTTACTAACAAATAGAGATCCTCAAATCCAAGTTGTGAAAATGTCTGCATACCATGAGATCAATCATATGAATTAGCCCTAGAACATATTTTATGTGATTGTCCTTGCAAAACAATTTTGTCTTCTTCTAATATTAGTGCTATCTGTTTGTAATGATTTACATAAATGAGATATAAATCATTAAAAAGGTGTACTAAATACCTTATGTAATTTGTTTGTCATCGTTACAAGGCTCTTGTTCTCTCTCCCTCTTTTCCCGGTTGTGCTTGGCTCATAAAGGGCAAAGGTCTGTCGAGAAATAGATAATACTCTATTAAAAAAAAAAAAAACTATAGTCAGCCAAAAGAAAATTAAAACTTTTTTTATTCAAATACAATATTTTTTTACTTGTAAAATTAGTATATTATTTTCTTAAAATTTGTAGTGGATTTGAAAAATATATTGTAGAAGTTTTTTATATTTTTTTCCTTTACAATTTTTCCATTATTTTTCAAATAAAAAAACATGAAAAATACATTTTGTTTTTAGTATGCAAGTGTTTTTCAATAATATAAAAAATTAAAATTAATTTTCATATATATCATAGATTCAACTTTATATATATATATATATAATTTAACATGAAGATTTTTTTAGTTAATAATACTATTTTTCATGATAATTTTTCACTGAATAAAATAAAATAAATATATTTTTAGTCCATTATTGATCTTGCCGTTGAGCAAATTTATGGTGTATTTATATTAAACCCGGTCCAAGATTTGAGTTACCAGTGAGCTAGTTAATTTTGGGTTGATTAAAATAATGCTATTTGAGGGTTTTTCTTTTAAGAAAAAAATTAAAAGTAAAGTTTTGAAAAAAATAAAAAATAAAAAATAAAACCTGTTTTAACAGAGTTTTAACTCAATCTAGAATAGATTTTCGATTCACGCAAAGGCCCACAAGGCAATGAAGATAACTGATTTTTCTGTTTATTCTGTTATGAAACTGGCACCCTCCTCTCTCCCTCTGTATAAATAAAACCAAACCAATCCTTTTTATTCTCTCTCTCGTTATAGACTGCCAAAGAAAAGAAACAAAAGAAATCTCTGCATCAATCAAAAACCATGAATATTGATCTTTCCAATGCCTGTGGCTGCCAAGGAGCTTTTGCCTCCCAACAACAAACGCAGCCCTTCTGACCTCAACACTACTCCCTCCTTGAACCAACTCAAGAAACCCTTTCTTGGATACCAAGAAAACACCACCACCACCACCACCTCAAATTCTCCTAATTCTTTCCACCGTTGCTTTTCTGATCCATGTTCTAAACCAGTGGCCAGCCAATTGGCTCTGCAATCACCACTCGATAGCTCCAAGATGGTAGGGACTAATGCAGCGTCTCTGCCATCACAGCCAGCACTGAGAAGGTCAGTGTCAGACCCATCTCCAAACGAGAGCTGTTCTCGGTCGTCAAGCTTTAAGGTCTACTTATTTATTGTCAATCCTAATCGTATAGTTATCTTTGATAATTGCAAAGATTCTTGAGACTGTTGATTTTGATTTTTAGACTTTAAAATAGTTCTCTTTTAGAGTTAAAATGGATTTTCCCCTTTTGAAATTCTTTGTGCAAAGTAGATGTGTTCTTTTATATTTTTGGGATTCTTGGGTTGGTTTTCTTATTCTTTAAGATAATTGAGACAAATTATAATGTGAAATTGTGAATTGATGGTTAAAAACAGTGGATGAAGAAGATGAGGGACAGCATGAAGGAGATCAATCAGTTGTGGGAAGAGATTATTATGCCTGTAGATGAAGAGCCACCATGCGAAAATCATGAAGAAGATGATAAGGGAACTGAGCTAGAGAACATTAATGCTATCAAGGTACAACTCCTTCACCTCCAATAAAAATTTGGATCAAAATAAAAGTTAGATTGTAATTATGTTTCGTTGTGCCAAAGCTACTGTATTGGCCTTAACTTGGAGTGAATTTTGTGTTCAAAGATCCAAATTTTGAAGATACTCATATTAGGAATTTTGATACATTGACTGTATGGATTGTTTGATTGATGATTTATGTCAAAGTTAGTGGATGGTTTTCATTTAAATTACTTTCTGGTTGATGCAGAGTGATTCAGAGACAGATTGTGAAGAATCTGTGACAGTGGAAAGAACTGGGGAATGCTTGATTATTCATTTCAAGTGCTTTTGTGGCGAAGGCTATCAGATTCTTCTCTATGGAAGAAATTGTTACTACAAACTCATGTAGTTCTTCTCTTATTGGCCCAAAATCCCGATATCAATTCCTGATATACTTCTTTATTTTCAGACAGGTCATTCATTCATTAGGTTATCCATATTTTTTTCGTGTTCCCAAGATTTTCAGAGTTGTAATGCTGCCTTCTAGTCAAAAGTTTCTTTTCTTGATTGATTTTTATTGATGAGTTACTTTTCATCTGATTTGGTTGTGTACCATGGGAAGATTAGTGTAATGGAGAGAATAAATGTTGTATAAACCCTGTTGGAATTCTTGCATTGAATTGTTAATCAAGAAATTTTCTGCTTCAGCTTATAAATTTTTGAATCTAGTACATTTCTATGCCTTTTCTGGAAACCGCCCATAATATGTTTCTGTTGTAGCTAGATTGATTATGTGTGATGATTGTGATGTTCGCCTGTGTATTTTCATGAATTCTCACCTTCTACATTGCAATACAAACCTCTTAAGATGTTATGTGGAAAAAGTAAACCATGCCTGAATCACTGAAATCTGTGGAGTAGCCTGAAGAATTGACAGAAATTCGGTAACGTTGTTTTACAGGAAATCGTATCATATTACAAAGTTAGAGATTACAACACAAATCAATGATGGACATCACCTCAAAAGAGGATCATTTAAATACAGAGAAGTAAAAGTAAAACAGAAGTACAACAACTATCATGTGGAACAAGCTCTGTTGTTTGACAACTATGTGGGATTGTCCTAAAGCATCTAAAACTTTCTTCTTTTCCTCAGTCTCTTTGAGAACTTTCTTTTCAGCTTTGATTCTCTTTTGTACCTCTATCTCAACACGTATCTGAGCTGCTTCTGCTGCTTCATTTGCAGCCCTACTCTTTGCTTTCTCCCACTCCACCATCTTCAATGCAGTTTCCTCGATTAGATGCGCCTCCAGTATTCTTTTCTCCTCTATTATTTTCCAATGTTCAAGTTCCATTACCTGCAGTTAAAACACTGAAGGTTAGGACTTGTTGGGTAGGAAAGTGGAACTCAGCTTTTTAACAATTCTTCCCCAAGCTAAATTCTGATAAATTTCTACAGTCTCCAATTAAGATCTTAGTCAATTTTACCTTGCAATTTGGAGAAGATTTGATGACCTGGATATCATTAAAGTATCACAGGCTAAGATTACAGTAGTATTAGATATTTCGACAAATCACCGATGCTTAAAGCAAAATCCAGAAAATGAAAGTCACTAAATGGACATGTTCTAATCAATACCTTTTGTTTTGCAGCAAGCGCTTCTTTTAAGGCTGCATGATACATATCTATTGTTTGCTTGAGCTCTTTTTTTAGCCTTCTAAACTCATCTTCATGGCCTTCCTGGAATTGTAAATAAACATTTGTTGAGAAAGTGCAGCTGAAAGTTATGAAAAATTGTTGGCATAGTACACATTACTTTCCAACTCCTGTCCTTGTACAATTTTGCACTAAGACAGGATTGAAACTTGATTTTCGGAATCGAAAGTGACTTATGTAGCACTCTGACCTCATTCAGTTCCAACCATGGTTCTGCATGATTGTCGAAAATTTTAAATTCAGGAATACCCCTAAGCTCAACTGGGGAACTGGACCCTGAATGTGTTGATTCGAAGTCTCTTTCATCCATATACAAGTCCTTTTGCAAGTTCTCAGTTAGTTCATAATTCCCCAGATTTTCATAGAAAGCAAAGAATGTGGTATCAGTGCTAGGCCTTTCGGAACTTTCAGTTGGGCTATCAGGGTGATCCGGTGAAAGCTCATCATACCAGCTTTCCGCTCTACACAAATGGTTATCAAATGTTAACAGGTATCTTATTTCATAGGAAATAGCATATAGGTGCAAGTGATATGTGACCATCTAATCTACCATAATGTGGTATCCACCACCATAGTTACAGTTCAAAGATAATGCGGATACTTTATCCAGGCTGCAACTAGCCAGAGAAGAACAAGGCAATTTGTGGTACACCATGGGCAATTAGGCAAAAAGATACAGTCGGAAGAATCCCAAAAATAATCCTGAATCCTGAACTTAACTGGGAATCTCAAAATCTTGGTCTATGAAATCAACATGTAACAAAAGCTACCCCCTAGAAAGATTATGAAATCAAGAATGCACACTGTATAAGGTCAGGAAAAGTATTTAGTCTTACATGGCTGGAGGTAGATCAACACTAGAGTTACGCTGCACGAGCAGTGCCCCTCCAGCTGCAGATCTAGCTGGGACTGGACGAGTTGCGTTTCGCAAACCACTGACCTTCCCTTTGGAAACTACATATACAGTGCAGAAATTTGGTGCCCTTTTCAACACAGTGCCAGGAATATCAACAGTCTTAAATAGTCTGTGCAAACCAACATTGAAGGTTCAGAAAATTGCTTTATAACCATGAAGCTATCTTTGCATAACAATACCTAGAAGCACAGATTTCTTCAAAGAACAACACCGAACAATAGATAGACTTGTAAGATATAACAATACCTGCCTGCTTACACATTTTCATTCCAGGTTGATTATAATAGACTAGAACTATTTGGGAATCACCTGGAAAGGCCATTTCTTGATCCTCCACCAAGCAACAAAGTGTCAACTCCGTATCGGTAAACATATCCAATGAGTGCTCTTGTCACATCTGAATCCTCAAGTAGCACAGTTTCGCATCGTACCTAATGCAGACAATTAAATCATGAAAGAAGGAAATTGAAGAAAAAGCTGGAGTAAGGAACAGAAAGCAAAATCTGAAAACATTGCTTCATGTAATTTGAATTCGGATTTTTAACAAAGTAATATATAAAGAGAAGGAAGCACCCAAAACCCACTCGTCGACGCCTACAGAAACATCGAAATGGAAGAAAGAAATCCATCGTTTGACTATCGGTTTGTTGTTCCTCCGGTGCATCATGATCATTTGAAACTGCAACAAAAATACAAGAAATTGCATAAATATTTGGAAACAGTTACATACAAACTTATCCTTTGAACTAAAATCCCATCCCTAGCAACATTTCTGTTCAAAAGGGAACGGCGGATCAACAGTGGCCTAGAAATCATGAATACCTCATATGATCGAAGAGCCTGCTCCTGTTATAAGATATCTGACTATAGTCCAGACAATATTGTATGTACATGTGAAGATGTAATAAATGAAACAATGGCGGAGAAATAAATGCATGCATCTTAATTCTAAAGAGAGTTAACCTGCATTTTGTCTATCTTTAACATGGACAAGTTTCAAAACAAGGTATCTGGTGACAAGATTATCAGCAGCCCAAATGAGGGCAGATTGGCTGCTTTTGTCCTTATCTATAGCCACAGCTATTGCCCTCTCTCTTCCTCTCCTCCTCTCTGCATTCTCTCTTAGATTCAACATTTTCTGCCCCTTTCACTCTCCCCCTTGTAGTTTCTTGACAAAGAATCAAACGAAGAAACTATGAGAAACAAAACAAGATCATTGGAAAGACTTGCCCTAGGTTCAAGAAACACCCTAACCCTAACCCATGGATGTCTGTCCCCAACAACTACAATGGTGTAGTCCTTGTAGTCATTGAGGTTGTAACAAGACATTGGCCCCTCAAATAATCCACCATGGCTGGCTGTCAGTTACAGAACAAAAAGAAACAGCTAGTCACATTCAATATGTTGCCAAGTCATTAGCAAAGCTCTTTGAAAACTAATCAGTGCCACCATCCATTTTTCTTCAAACTGAACATTTCTTTTACTAATTATAGGTAATGATCAATTATTCATGTGCTTAAACTAAACTCATCAAATTCAAATTACGATAATTTCTAGGTGTACAAAAAGGCATCCGGTCATTTTTTGACGGTCTTTTTCACATATCAACACTAAATCTCCTTTTGCTATTAAACTCAAGCTTGATTCAAGAGTCGATCCAGGACTTGGCCAACATGTCTCCTAGCCTAGGTTGAGTGTTGAAAGAGCAACTTAGAACGTTTGATTTGGTGCATGTCTCCTAGCCTAGGTTAAGTGTCGAAAGAGTCAACTTAGAACAGTTTGATTTGGTGCGTGTCAATCTATAACTTGATCAAAATACTTTTATAAATATAATAATATTTTATTTTCATAACCATGTAATTTTAATTTTTTTATTAATCCAAGTTAATTTAAATTAACCAACTCAATACATGACCTAATTCTTGCGTTAGTTAGATCGATCCTGAATTCATCTGTAATAGACTTGCATGCTATCCTTACCTAGAATGATACATTTATGAGAAATTAGCACACCATCCTCATCTCTAGGAACGAATTAGTTTTGGTTTCCTTGACAACTCGACGGAGAACGAAGGACATCAAAGAGAATTGGTTTTTATTTATTTAGAAGTTTTGATATTATGTGATTATTTGAGATTTTATTATTTAAAATTATTAGTATTTATAATTTATTTGTTAAATTAGGATTTTAGTTTTCTTATTAAATTAAGATTTATTATTTTATTTGGTTTGGTGTGTATAAATAAACAATTAGACATCAATTATTTTGATTTTTAAATTATTAATCGAAATTCAAACTCAGAGTTTATGCAAGATTAAGTGTGTATCTCTTGTTTTGGTCTCTTCGAGATCGGGTTTCTCTCCTTCATTGATGATTTTTTTATTACTATTCTACTTTGATTCTTGTATTTTCATGATTTTTTTCTCTCTTTTCCTGCATCACAACTATTGATTAGCTAATATTCAAAAGTATTTAATCAAATAACTTGATTCAAAGGCTTTCACAATAGAAGATAGGAATTGTGAGCGAATCGTGGAGGCATAGGGGATCGGGAAACCAGACAGGTATGATTTGTATGGATCCAAAGCTCAACGCAGCAGCAGCGACGACAAACATGGGAACAAGGCAAGAGGGTGGCAATGGACCTAGTGAGGAGTTCCAAGAGGCAGGGATCACACGCTGTGCTGGTCCTGAGTTAGCCTAACATTTTCCTATTTCTCAGTAGCAGATTCAGCAGCAGGCACAGGATTTCCTGTGTTGTTCAAGAGACCACATTCACTTCCCTGGACCAACTAGGTTTTCCCGAAATACAGTCACAATATGGAATGACTATTCAATCAGGTCGATACTCCAAAGCAACAGCTCCATTCCAGGGCCTTGTACAATATTCAGAGTCCATCATGAAGTAATTGCTGATCAGAGCTGGAAATGGCCGCGGCAGTCATGATACACATCAAGAGACTTACTCGCCAGGCACGGAAGGGCCAGTTTAGATTATTCTTATTAGGAAATCCTGTCTTTAGCTAGGTTTTGACTTTTCATAGTCTGTTTAGTATTGAGCTACAAGAATGGTTTATATGGACTAAATTAACCAATTGCTTAACAGAAACTTGTCACAGCATCCATTACACTAAGTAATCAGATAATTCTGATCCAAGTGAATCCATTTTGTGTGAATGTTCTTGCTATCCATTGTACTGCCAATGAGAAAGAAAAGGCTGTCAAAACCTGGCACATTCAGTCTTGGAGATATATATTATTTCAATGAATTTTGGACTGTCTATTTCATGGATGTTGTAAAAATAATCCATACACCAAATTTTCCACACTACCATAGTAGTACAATCTCTCAATATAAAAATTATAGTAGTGTATTATTTGTTTTCATGGTAGTTATATAGAGAGGTAAGCATGCAAGAGCAAAGACTATTTCCTTCGTTTTTCCCTCTTCTTCATTTTTTTACGCATTATCATCCCCGTAGCTCTTCATTCAAATGCAGAAAATCTTATCTGTCTCCCCCCTCCCCAACTCTAATAGATTAGAGATCCAATTTTAAACTCAACCATGCTCGAGATGTTTAAGAGAAAGTGAATTCATCAGACTTCCCTCTTGAAGATTTCATATCCCCTTCACTGGTATACGACGAGAAAAAATCATCATCACTATCTTTCTCTTTTATTTCTTCAATCCTCTCAAGAACTTCCTTCAAGTCTAACCTCTTCTCCACGTCGGCTTCACAACAACTCAAACCAATCTTCAATAGCTTTATCACCTCACTTTCACTACCACCATTGGGTTTTGTTGGCACGTTAGTCATATCCTTATCGAGCACCACATTAGTCCACTCTTCATAAGGAACAGAATTGACCCAACTTGCCAAATCTTGCTGCTCACTTCCTTTGCCTTGTGGTACGAAGTTTGCTGGCAACTTTCCTGTTAAGATCTCAACTATCAATATCCCAAGACTCCAGACATCTGTCTTCTTGGTAATCCGGCCATGATGCGAGTACTCAGGGGACTTGTAGGCTACCATGAGTTCTTGAGCATTCTCTTGGTTGATAACAGGAACTAGTCCATAATCAGTAAGCATTGGCTCGTTGGATTGAGTGAGAAGAACGTTGGAGGATTTGAGGTGGCCGTGGGCAGCAATGATGTTGGGAAGGTCTTTGTAGAGGTATGCAAGACCCCTGGCTACTCCCTTAACAATCTTCAATCTGCTTGACCAACCAAGGCTTGGTTGACCTAGAGCTTGACGACCTGAAAGGGAATAGATGGCAGCAGAAAGGTCAGAATACAGAAATGTCACACATTATATGAATGAATGGAAAGAAAAAGACGAGGAATGCTATGGACACTTGTGCAAGCCTGGGTAGAGCGATTATCTCCCTCCATCAATGATGGATCACACATTCAATGGATGAAAAGCATCACCATGTATGTTTGGCGACTGTCCAAATTTTGTTCTAGAAGCATACCATGAAGATGAACAGCTAGGCTGCCTTTCTCAACAAAGTCAGTAATCAAGAGCTTCTCTTCCTTCCTATAATAGTACGCCACCAGAGGAAGTAGGTTAGAGTGCTTCAATCTCCCCAGCCTCCTCATATGCTCTTGAAACTCTTCTTCCCCTACATTATTCATCTGCTTAAACCTCTTAACCACCATCATTGTCCCGGAGCTAAGTGCTGCTTTGTATGAGGACCCAAAGCAACCACTTCCTAAAATCTCAGCCGAGGCCTTTAACAAGTCTGGCAAATCAAACTTTTCTCTATCATCCCTCACAAAGGACAGCTTTGGACCCTCACCCTTCCTGCTCCCTACCGAGTGGTCCGGTGAGCTTGATGGGCTTTGGTTTTCTTCCTTGAAACCGGTTTTCTTTTTGAGGTTTGATGGTATTGGTGGTGGAGGTGCTTCTATTGAGCCTGATGCTTGTCTTTGACGTCGACGATGAAGGAATAAGAAAGCTGCAACGATGGCACCTATTAGTAATCCCACAGCTGCAGCAAGGATCACGATTAGTAGCACTGGGGTTTTCTTGGAGTCAGAGTCATGGCCAGCGTTGTCTGTGGTATTACATTCATTTATTGGCGGTCCACACAGACCTTTATTTCCTGCTCAACCAAAAAAGCTATGAAAGTGAACAAATTGGCAAATCAATTGGAAATGTCACCAGAAATTTGAAAAAAAAAAAAATAGTGCTAAGACTCAATTTTGTTATGGTGAATTGATGTGCTCGAGGTGTCAATGATCTAAAAATCTTTATGACAGAAAATCAATGTATAGCCTACTTTTTGTAAGTCTAAGAAAACTCAAGTAAAGATAATTATTTTTTGAAAATCTCGTATCAATCCATGATAATGGCAATAGAGGTTAACACAAGCCACCTATTGCTTGTTGCCATTAATGATCTTTAGGTCAAGAGGGCAACTCACCTGAAAAGGAGCTCAAATCCATCTTGCTGAGGCCTGCAGGGATTGGTCCCTCCAAAGCATTATTTGACACACTGAATGATTGGAGATTGTGTGTAAAATCTGGTAGCTTCCCACTGAATTGGTTTCCTTCAAGCCTCAAAACCAAAAGCTTAGGCAAGGCTACCAATGAGGAAGGAATGGCACCTGTAAACTCATTTTGTGCCAAATACACTTTCTTCAGTTTCAACATGCCATCAAAAGCATCCGGTGGAATCACCCCTGAGAAATGGTTGTTAGACAAATAAATCGATCTCAATGTAACAATTTTCTTGAACTCTGGCATGGGACCATCGAAGTTATTGTTCATGATGCTGAATGTTTTCAAATCTGGCAAACTTTTTAGAATTTCCACATCAATCTTGCCAGCCAATCCCATATTCTCAAGTTGTAAGCCCCAAAGGGACCCTTCAACACAAATTACACCAACCCAATTTGTTGCATTATTTTTCGTGCATGGTGTGGTCTTATCACTCCAGTCTGACAACACAGATGCGTTCGTTAAAGAACGTTTGAACTTGAGGAGGATTTCGGAGTCCGTCAGTCCCAAAGAAGCAACAAAATGGAGGGAGACAAGTAGAAAGACAAGAACAAGTGAGGTTTTATGATTAGAAGTCACGATGCTATAGAGTGGTGGGACGCGCACTGGTGAGGGGGCATGCGCGCCC